TTTTATTATTTAATAGCTTTATTGTATTTTAGTTAAAAAGCAGTATGCTAATTGCAAAACTTACTCATATTTGATAGATGTTCATGAAGTAAAAAAGGAAAAGTCTTCCCCATTCATTGTGGTCTCTTTTCTTTGTCCTGCTGTTCCTCTCACCTCACACTCCTCAAATTTCCCAGGTAGAAAAATAATTTCGACAGTATGGTGTGGATCCTTCTAGATTTTATTTTTCTGTACTTTTATAACATATAAAATAGACAAATTTTATTAAATTGAATAATACTGTTTATGCTGTTTTTAAACTTGAAACTGCTTTTAATTTTATGTCTTTCAGTCCTGCCTTAATTTTGGTGTTTGCCATTGGATCTCTGGGTTTCCTTTTAGCATTGACTTTAAACAGACACAAGCATCCCCTTAACCTGTACCTGCTTTTTGGATTTGTGAGTACTTTGACAATATCTGTTTCTTGAACATTTATTCCTGAGTTGTATTTATTTAATTGAATGTATATAACTGTAAAAGAAAATTAATGAGTTTTTTTAAAAATTTGAATATTTTAGGAAATTACTTGTGATCTAGTCTGTAAGACTTTTTGAACTTTTACAGTTTCAAAGTTTTTTTCTGTCAGCATTATGATATAGTGGAAAAAAATAATGAATTGGAATCACATGATCTGTCTTTGCCCCTGTCTGCTAATTGTGTCATCTGGCAGGGCATTTAGCCTTTTTGTACCTATGGTTTCTCATATGTAAAATGAAAATATTAAAGTAGATTATCCCTGTGATACTTTCTACCCCTGATATTCTGTGCTTTTCTTGGGGAAAAAATTATATTGTGGCCTTAATTTCATAGGCCTTAAATTGAAATCTCTATGATTAACTCTTCAGAGTCATTTGTATCTTATGACTCTGTCATTTTAAGGGACTATTTTGTCCAACTGATGTGTTTTACTAACTTGTTTCAAAATCATAGTTGGGAGAACTGAAATTTAAGTCGTGTTTATTGAGATATNTGGCATCCCAAGCGAGTTCTTAACCATCGCGCCACTCGGCCGGCCCGGGAGAATGAATTTCTGAGTATGTCTCTACCCTTAGCACTTTTACAGGGCCAATTAAGCTAGTTTATATAACTAGTTATAATAAATGTAATATAGGTATAATAGTCTATTAAGGTAGTCTATTTTAGCAATATGATATATGTATATTTTTGAAGCACTAAGAAATATTATTTTATAGACTCAGGAGCACGTCATAATCTATGGGATTAGATTATCCATTTCTGCAACTTTGTATTTTCACTTAATATATTTTACATTAAAAAATAGCAGTACATTATAGCTTTATGATATTCTTTTTAACTGCAGTGGTCTTCCATAATATGTCTATACCATAACTAATACCTAATGGATATTTAGGTTGTTACTTTTCTTTCTTTTTATTTCTCCAAATAGTGCTGTAGGGAACCCCATCCATATCTTTGTGAATTTTTTCAAGTATTGTTCTAGGATAGATTTCTAGAAGTGATATTGTGGGGTCAAAAGAGTATATATATTTTAAATTTGATTGATATCATCAACTACCCTCTAAAGAGATTGCACCTTTGACTCTCCAGCAAAACTATATGAGGGTATTTTTTTTTTGCACCCTCATCAATGCTGAGTATCATTAAACTTTAATATTTGGCAATCTGGTAGATCAGAGGTTGGCAAACACTTTCTACACAGGGCTAAATAGTAAATATTTGCAGCTTATGGGGGCAATAATGTCTGTGTCGCAACTACTCAACTCTGCCATTGCAAAAGCAGCTGTAGAAGATACATAAATGTGTTAGTGTGGCTGTGCCCAATAAAATTTTACTTAACAAAATCAAGTGGTGGGCTGGATTTGGCCCATGGGCCATCCATGGTCTGCTGACTCCTGTGGTAGGTAAAAAATGTTATCTGGTTTTAATTTGCATTTCTTCAGCTATGCAAGTGAAGATGAGCGTACTTCTTCATTTACAAAACTTTATTGGGTTTTGTATAGATATTAGGTATATAGCAGTGACCAGACAATATTTCAGTCCTCAAGAGTTGTTATTTGGATGGGGGAGTGGGAGAGACAGATTTTCAAGAGGTAAGGATATAAATAGACTACTAGCTCTGATAAGTTCTCTGAAGAAAAGAAACAGTGATGGAAGAGACCCTAGTGTTTAGAATGGCAGCTATTTTAAAGAATGGTCAGGGAAAGAAGGTAGCAGTTACGTTGTATGAGAAGGAGCTAGCTAGGTGTATTATCTTTATAAAATATTACCTCAATTTAATAGCTTAAAACAACAAATAGTGTCTGAGAGTCAGGAATCTGGGAGGAGCTTAGCTAAGGTAGGTAGTTCTGTCTGGCTCAGGGTCTCTCATGCGATTCCAGTCAAGATGTGGACTGCAGTCAGCTGAAGGCTTGACTGGGCTGGAGGATCTGCTACCAGGAAATCTCACTCATATGGCTGTTGACATAAAGCCCCAGTTCCTTGCCACATGACCCACTCCTTAGGCTACTTGAGTGTCCTCATGGCATGGGGGCTGTCTTCCCCCAGAGCAAGGGATTCTTGAGAGAACAATGGGGAAGCCGCAGTGCCTTTGATGACTTTGTCCATGGTAATCACACACATCATTACACCTCCTTTATTCTAGTCATTAGAAGCAGGTCACTAAGTTCAGTCCACACTCAAGGGGAGGGGAGGCAGGCTGCATCATTTGAAGGTAGTGTTAAATAATTTATAGGAATATTTTAAACCACCACAGTCTTCCTTGAGGCCACAAATTATTTTTCTTTCTTCTCCATGCAAGCCAAGACCATGTGCAAGAAGACTTTGGAACTAAGGAGACAAATTATTTGTACCTACATACTCAACACCCAGTGGTAGGACAGGTATAACTTGGTGGTATTTTTGCCAATAAAATTATTCAGAAAACTTTGTAGGTCTCCAGTGATTCTTACTAAGGTTCACTCCCTTAGATAAAGCTCACACTGCTACTTCTGCCTTATTCTTTCTGTTAGAAGTGAGTCACTTGAAGGGAATGTTAAAAACCATGGACATATTTTAAACCACCATTCCATGTAAAGAAGGATAAGGGAATTCTGGGCAGAGGAATGACAAGGGCACAGGTCCAGAAGCAGGAAGGATTTGGCATGTTTGGGGAACAGAAAGGTGGCTAGTGTGGGTAAAGCATGTGAGGAAAAGGAGAGTGAGTGGTATGAGCTGAGGTTGGAAAGGTTCTGTATCACTCAGGGCCTTGTAGGCCCCGTAAAACCTTTTAAATTGTATTCTAAGTGTAAGGGAAATCATTAAAAGTATTTAAGCAGGGCGTCCCAGGATATGGTTTATTTTACAAAAAGATCACTCTGACAGCTGTGTGGAGAATGAATTAGGTGGGACCAGAGTGAAAGCATGGAGACCAGTTAGGCTACTCCAGTAGTCTGGGTGCGAGATTATACAGGCTTTGACCAGAGAGGCAGCAGAGGTGGGTGTGTTCTGCTTTGTGAGTGGAGGCTACAGTAGTTGTTGATGGGAAGAGGGAGAAGAATCAGAGATGACTCCTACATTTTTGGCATGGTTGGTGGATGTTGGTGTAGTTACTGATGAGACTGGGAAAAGGACAGATTTGGGTAGAAATGAAGAGTTCCCGTTTTGGCCATGTTAACTTTCAGATGTCAAGTGGAAGGAAAGAAATCAGGACTCAAAAGAAAAAAAAAATTAGAAGATATTGCTGTTGGGCTTATATTCTTTTCATATTCAATCTTTTATTTTTCTTTGTGATCTGTGTATGTGT